ATCTCGTTATTTATATTAACATAAATCATATTTTTGGTCTGTTGTATGCATTATGTCCTTGAATGCTTGCCCAAACACAAACCCTTATTGAGAATTATCATCTTATTTACAAACTGAAAATCAAAGATGTTAAGGAATTTGCCCTACTTTAATATAGCTACTAAATGACAGGGCTGGAATTTGAAGCCAGGTCTCCTGTCTCCTACAGAACAAACCCTTGATTCAGTTACACTCCCAAAAGGAATACTGGCTACATTTTAAGAATGGATACAAGAACATTTTTGAATCTGCTAGGGCCTACTCCTCTGAAGACAGGATAGATGACTATTTTGCAATTTGTATAAAGGAACTGAAAGAAGGTTATTAAGGAAAAGCACTTAGGGAAGGTTTCATTTATGAAATAATAATGAGCAAAAAATTAGCAGGCAAAGCCTTCAACCTCACAGGATGCTTCTCTGAAAAGTGAAATGAGAAGCCATTCTACTGCCAAAGCAGGGTGTCCTGTATTTTGAATGCTAAGTCAATTAAATGGCTATTAAATACCTATTATAGTTTCAGAAGCAAATAAACAACACTAACAAGCAAGGAATAAATCAGAACAAGAGTTAGGAGCCAGGCATGTACCTCAGGGAGAGCATATGCTTAGCTTGCACAGGCCCTGGGTTCAATCCCCAGCCCAAGGGAAGGGACAGTGACCGTGGGGACTACTAGGTTGGTTCAGGAAGCCAAACCACTTACATTTCTTTGAGATTTTTTTTCTGGTTAGCCTCAACCCATTTGCTAGCCTTCAGACCAAGCCAGGTCAATCAGGCCTCTATGAACAAAAGGAATTGGCTAGCTTTTGTACCACCAGAACCCCTATTTATTATTTTCGCCAGTAGCTCTAGAATTTGAATAGTTTATCTGCCGAATACTTTTGTAAAGCATGCACTCTACACATGGAAAGTCCACAGAGTGGAGGTGAGGCAGAAGCCATGTCTTTAGATCAACTTTGCCCTGAATCCTGATTCAGTCCCTCAGGAGTGACAGTCCTTGTGCAAGTTTCTTGATTTCCCTGTCTCTCAGTTGCCCTCTGTCAACAGTAAAGTGGAAACTCTTTAGAGACAGACAAATCCTCTCTAGGACAGAGGCCACCAAGGATTCATCAGATTCCTCACACATGAAAATCACTTACATGTGCTCGTTGATTTCCCACCATCCATGCTCACAGCCTTTCATACTCTTCTTGGTGATTGAATAGTTATGGAATCTCAGGGCTATGCCGAGAGTTGACAGAGGGGTCTGTGAAAAACAACATCAAGTCAAAAAATGCTTTAGGCAAAGGACGAATCTCAGGCTAACATTTCCTTGCTGGCTCGGTACTTTTTGTTTCAGGGGTGTTCTACTCCTGTGCCCTGTGACCCCTGGTGTGGTACACCAGCTCCCTTGAACAACCAGGATGGGAAGAAGTGCAGGTGGAGAACAAAGAGGATAGCCACCAGGTGCTCAAGACTCAGCTTCTGGGCCCATGAGGTGGGACACCATAGGCAGTGTCTCTGGGTTTCAGCCTGCTCCAGTTGGATGAGCTTAATTTTGCAGACATTCACCAGTTACTGAGTGTAAAGAATGTCCTCTGTTGATGAAAACAATGACGTGGCTTATTTAAAGTTTCATTCAGATCCTGTAGATAAAAGAGAAATGAATCAGCTTCCTCTTCATATTACCTGGGTATTCCTAAAGACTGTCACTGAATCATCTGGGTATTTTCTGAAAAGGTCAAGGGAGCCAGACTGCCTGCTTGTGAGCAAACATGCACATACTATGCCACGACACAACTGGCCTTTTTATTGTACTGTGTGGTGTACGTACACCTTATGTCTGATATGCCAATGTTTTAGTTTTCACTTTCACTTTGACCCAGGAATTATGGAAGAGAGGATTTTTATGTTTCTCGAGAGTTGAATTTTGGCTTACCCATTTTCAAGTTTTCTAATTCCATCTTAATTAGAAGAGAGATTATGGTTTATATTGTTTTTTATTTTTTTTTAAATTTCTTAAGAATTTGATTGTGATCCAATTATGAATGTTCCATGGTCCTTCTGCTTATTTTTATTTCCAAACTCACTGGTATGGCCTAATAGCTTTCCTGGCCCTATTTACTGTTGTGCACTATGTCTGAATCATGCAAGGAAAGTGAATTAAAATCTCTTACTTAAGCCTTGCCCACTTCTCTTTGTTTTTCCTATACTTCTTGGCTTGTGTGTATTGATGCTATATCATTCACTGCATAAATAATCATCATAATCAGATTTTGTGGATCACCCTTTTTATCTTATAAGTTGCCCTTCTCCTTACTTTCAAACCAGGAAATGTTGTGGCCCTGGTTTCAGTGTTGCCAGGTACTAAGAATGAACACTGTTTTCTTTTTACTTATCCATACCTGGTACAAACTTGCCCATCCTTTCTGTTCAGCTTTTTTTGAGTCATTTTTTTTTCTTTTGAAAATGACGAAGTTAAGTTTTTAGG